AATGGCCACCCAACTGATGATCATCCACCAAGCTCCATCATGTCCCCTCTGCCTCTCTCTGGTGCTGTAATCCTACCTGTTACTGTCCTTGGATGTTTCCTTGTCCGTCATAATGGTGGTCGTTTTCTTTTCAAGTACCAGGATATCCGAATTTTGTTTGAGGCACAACTTGATGCTGTAGATGAGTTGATGGAAGCGTGGAACAGAGAGTTAATGTCTTGCGTTCGTGATTCCTACATTGAAATGGCGCTAGAAATGCAGAAGTTAAGAAGAGAGTCTTTGACTTCTCCAATTGAGTCAACTTCAGTTGCTTTGTCTTTGAAGCCTTGCAGTAGCCAACTTTACTCTTTCTGGCCAAGGTCTGATGGACATGCTTCAATTAATCAGCCTGGTGATGCCAATAACTTAGCATCAGAAATGTTTAAGGCAGATTGGAAATGCCTGATTGAACAAGTTATAAGGCCTTTTTATGCTCGTGTTGCTGACCTTCCTTTATGGCAGCTGTATTCGGGAAATTTAGTCAAGGCTGAAGAAGGGATGTTCCTTTCGCAACCTGGGAATTCAGTAGCTGGAAATTTGCTTCCAGATACAGTTTGTAGCTTTGTTAAGGAGCATTATCCGGTGTTTTCAGTGCCTTGGGAGTTGTTAGCTGAAATCCAGGCAGTGGGAGTATCGGTTCAAGAAGTCAAACCTAAGATGGTTAGAGATCTTCTTCGGATTTCATCGACATCTATTGTTATGCGATCAGTTGCTACTTATGTTGATGTTCTTGAGTATTGCTTGTCTGATATTCAGTTCCCTGGATCAACAAATTTTCATGGAAATGATGCGTTAAGGGAGTCAATAAATTCTAGTTCTATTGACAGAGCAACAACTGAAGTGGGCAATGATTCTGCCTCTGTATCAGTATCTAGTACAAGGAGTCTCCACGATTCAGCTTCACAGAGTGTGACAAGTTCAGGTGATGCTCTCGAAATGATGACAAGCTTGGGTAAGGCTTTATTTGATTTTGGCAGAGGGGTTGTTGAAGACATTGGTCGGGCTGGAGGGCCAGTAGTTCAAAGAAGCAGTGTTGCTGGTGGCAGTAGAAGTGGCATACAAAATGGAGACCACATGCTACTATACGTAACTAGAGAGTTGAAAGGCTTACCATGTCCAACTGCTGCAAATCATCTAGCTCGATTAGGTGTTAATGAACTTTGGTTTGGAAAGAGGGAGCAGCAGATGTTGATGTCACCTTTAGCAGCAAAGTTTATAGACCCAGCAGTATTGGATAGATTAATTCTGGTTGATATTTTTTCAAAATGTGCTACTCACATGTTATTAAAAGTAAAGACTTTCTCCCTTAGCTTATTGGCTGACAATATGAGGTTACTTTTTCAAGATAACTGGGTAAATCATGTGATGGGATCAAATATGGCTCCATGGTTTTCATGGGAGAGCACATCCAGTTCTGGCAGTGAAGGTTGTCCGTCACCTGAGTGGATAAAACTGTTCTGGAAAAATTTTAGTGGGTCATCAGAAGACCTTTCAGTCTTTTCTGAATGGCCATTAATTCCTGCCTTTCTTGGAAGGCCAGTTTTATGCCGTGTAAGGGAGCGCCATTTGGTCTTCATTCCACCTCCATTTCTAGATCCAACCTCTGGCAATGATGTTAGGAATGTAGGTGATACAGAAGCCAATCCAACTTTCACATCTGACTCAATCGAAACTTATGCATCAGCATTTGATGCAGTCAGAAATAGGTATCCTTGGTTGTTATCACTGCTGAACCAGTACAATATTCCTATTTTTGATGTTTCTTTTATGGACTGTGCTGCTCCTTGCAATTGTTATCCGTCACCTGGTCAGTCATTAGGGCAAGTAATTGCATCCAAACTTCTTGCAGCTAAACAAGCTGGCTACTTTGCTGAAGTTACTTATTTCTCATCTTCAGTTCGAGATGGACTTTTTTCTCTTTTTGCAAATGATTTCCTTTCCAATAACTCTAGATATAAAAGAGAAGAGCTTGAAGTATTACGTTCACTTCCAATATATAAAACTGCTGTGGGGTCGTACACACAATTGGAGAATCAAGATCTATGTATAGTCTCTGCAAATTCATTCCTTAAGCCACATGATGAGGCTTGCTTTTCATATCCCACAAATTCAATTGAATACTCTTTCCTTAGAGCACTTGGAGTCCCTGAGTTGCAAGATCAACAGATTTTTGTTAGATTTGGTTTGCCTGGGTTTGAAAGCAAGTCTCAGGCTGAGCAGGAGGATATATTAATTTATCTATATGCTAACTGGGAAGACCTCCAAGCTGACTCTACTGTTGTTGAAGCTTTAAGGGAGGCTAAATTTGTGAGAAATACAGATGAATTTTCCCCAGATCTGTTTAAGCCAAAGGATTTGTTTGATCCTTGTGATGCTTTGCTAACATCTGTTTTCTCTGGTGAGAGGAAAAGATTTCCTGGAGAAAGGTTTACTACAGATGGATGGCTTCGCATTCTAAAGAAACTTGGTCTTCGAACAACTGTGGAGGCTGATGTTATGCTTGAATGCGCGAAAAGAGTAGCATTTCTTGGAGTTGAGTCGATGAGGTCAACTACAACTGATGATTTTGGGAGTCAGTTTACACACTATCAAGATCAAGTTTCTAAAGAAATATGGATGTTGGCTGGATCTGTTGTTGAGGCTGTATTCTCAAATTTTGCCGTCCTTTATAGCAATAGCTTCTGTAGTAGTCTTGGCAAGATTGCTTTTGTGCCTGCTGAATTTGGCCCCCAAAATGTTGGTGGCAAGAAGGGTGGCAGGAGAGTGCTTACCTCATACAGTGAAGCTATTCTGTCAAAAGATTGGCCTCTAGCTTGGAGTTCTGCTCCTATTCTCTCCAGACAGAATGTTATTCCACCTGAATATTCATGGGCTGCGCTCCAGCTTAGGAGCCCTCCTGCTTTTTCTACAGTCCTGAGACATTTACAGGTAAGAGGCTATAACTTGCTTTCACGCTCCTGCAATTATTAGAGAAGATTATTTAACTAAATTTTGCCTCAGGTAATTGGAAGAAATGGAGGTGAAGACACACTTGCTCACTGGCCCATTGCATCAGGCATGATGACCATTGACGAAACTTGTTGTGAAGTTCTGAATATCTTGCTAATGTTTGGGATTCCCTCTCTGCTTCAGGTTACTCTACCTTGTTCCTCTGCCATTTACATCTTGTCTTCTATTTGTTGTTCTCATCAATAACGCCCCTAAATGGCAAAATCTATTAATTTCGTGGTGTATAAGTTCCACTGCCCTTCTTTTCATTTGAAAAAGATCACAAACACAATTAATTGCTTTTTTGATAATTGTGAAGAATTAATTCTGACCTGTGTTTATTATTAAATAACTTAATTATGTAGGCATATTTACTAATATACCATTTATTTGTTCACCATTATTTCAAAAAAAAAAATTCTA